TACTTTTGGGGTCAAAGGCCGGTCATGGCCAATCAAATCCACAGGAGGGTTTGTGCTGAGCAGCAATCAAGCACATGGAAACCTGGTAATTGTCTTTGGGGTCAAAGGCCGGTTACAGCCAATCGGTTCCACAGGAGGGGTATTTAAACCCAATTCTCCTCTTGCTCATTGCCCTGTCGTGGTTTCATGCCTATGGTTATCCGAGAGTGCGTTCCTGATCTTCATTTTCTGGTATTTGACCTTGTTTTGACTTCCCTGATATCTGGTATCTTTGACTTCTGGCTTTCCCTCATCTTTGTGTCTGATTCTGTGTCCCTGACCTCGGCACGTATTTTGACTATTCTTGGAGACGTTAAGTCCGGCCATTCTAAGGTCCGGTTATACTTTATCCTTAGTCCTAGGTGTGACACAGAACTGCGTGCTGGATCAAGTTGTAATTCTGGCATATAGGAAGTCTGAGAGGGTAGTGGCCAGGTCGATACCGATCCCCACTAGACTACCGATCCCCACAGGAGCTGCTCTGGATAACCCGCTATCCAGACACTTAAGAGTCAGCCAAGAGCAGAACCTTTTCTGGCCAGGGATCTCCAAAGACATTCAGCAGTATTGCCAAACGTGCGATACCTGCCAGAGAGTAGGAAAGAGGGGAGACCGTCGCAAGGCAAAGCTTCACCCTTACCCCATTATTGAGGAACTGTTCGGCCGAGTGGCTGTAGACCTCATAGGACCCCTAGCTAAGCTTAGTCCCTCCGGCAAGAAGTATATCTTGACTGTGGTCGACTACGCGACCAGGTACCTAGAGGCGGTGTCGTTGACCAACATACACACCGAGACAGTCGCGGAGACTCTGATGTGAATCTTCTCCCGAATAGGCTTTTTTCCCAGGAGATAGTTTCGGATCAGGGCACCCAATTTACCGCCGAGGTCACCCACCAACTCTGCAAGATCTGCGGCATTAAGCCAATCATGTGCTCCTCATACCATCCTCAGACCAATGGCCTGTGCGAACCGTTCAATTGAAACTAATGTTCCTAATGCTTGCGGCCACCAGCAGAGACTGGGAGAGACTCCTGCTGCACCTCTTGTTTGCGCACTGGGTGGTACCGCATGAATCCACAGGGTTCTCCTTATCTGAGCTGCTGTTCGGGAGAAAGGTTAGAGGGCCACTAGACCTGATCAGGGAGCACTGGAAAGGGGATGTTAGCCAGGACAGTACCCCTATGTGCTGGAGTACCCAGACCACCTGGAGGTTTGTACAGGCTCAGAGATGTCAGCGCACCTGGTACGATAGGGAAGCCAGGGACCGCAGCTTTCAGGTAGGACAGAAAGTTTTAATTTTAAAAACAGTCCACAATGATAAGCTGCAGGTTGCCTGGCAGGGCTCATACCAGGTGGTAGAGCAGAGGTGCAATACCACATATGTGATCGGCCCTTGATCTGGTGCAGGGGGGAGATACATGCTCCATGTGAACATGCTGAAGCCCTATGAGAGAGCGGAGGAAGTGGCAGCAATCTGCGCCCATGTCTCCAAAGAATTTGGGAACCTTCCCCTACCTGACCTTCTAGGGGATTGGAATCAGACAGGCGCCCTAGAGGAGGTACAGTAAGACGAGCGTTTAAGTCCTCAGGAGCAGTTGCTTGAGTCCAAGTCCAAGTGCCCCAGATACAGCAGTTGCTTGAGTCCACCTTCTCTAATGTACCCGGACACACTTCTTTAGTGACCCACCGCGTAGGGACCCCAGGACAGCTGCCTCTGCGCCAGCCTCCTTACCAAATCCCTGAATCATTCAGTGAGAACATGACTATCGGCCATTGAGTCGTCCGACAGCCCCTGGGCCTCCGCTGTATTGCTAGTACCAAAGCGGGATGGCACGACCCACTTCTGTGTAGACTACCAGAGGTTGAATGATAAAACCGTGTCTGATGTATATCCTATGCCCCAGATAGGATGGCCTTGGTCACAGGGTAGGTTGCGGGAAGCTGAAGCCCGAACACGCAAAGGTTGAGCCTTCCCCTCACTCCCCTGTACTAAGACCCAGGTCATGGCCTTTTTAGGGACTGCAGGGTTCTACCGAAACTTGGTCCCCAATTACAGTACCCTGGCCAAGCCCCTCACAGACCTAACCCACAAGAATCTTCCCAGGCAGGTAGTTTGAGCCCTGGAGTGTAAGCAGGCATTTCAACAACTTAAAATGGCTCTTGTGAATGCCACTCCCCTGCCCTTGCAGCTCCCAATCCATCTAAACGTTTTCTCATCCATACAGATGCTTCAATGTTTGGATTGGGAGCCGTGCTGAGCCAAGTCAGAGACAATGGAAGAGAACATCCCATAGCGTACTTGAACAGAACACTTTTACCCCGTGAAGTATGCTATGCCGCCATAAAAAAGGAATGTCTGGCCAAGGTGTGGGCTCTCAAGAAACTGCAACACTCCTTGTACAGGCAACCATTCTCTTTGCTCATGGATCACAACCGTGTGGTGGGGGACAATGCTAGGCTTCTGCGCTGGAGTTTGGCACTGAAGCCGTATGACTTTACCATCCACTACCGTGCTGGGAAAAAGAACGGCAACGTTGACGGGTTATCCCGACAAACCAAACTAGACACGTGATCCGTGGGATCAGACTGTGTATGCCGGCTTATGGTTAAGGGGGATCTGTGTGGCGGGCTGTCAGGTTCCCACTCCCCGGCTTACCTACCTTGCGCCCCCTCCACGGAGACGATGCACTGGAGTGCGACTCACCATGCAGTGTGGTTGGCCCGACCTCCCACGCTGCCCGCTTAGCATCCTCCAGACACTACCATCTCCCGAACGTGGCTACACAGATTCTGAAGCTTCAGGAGAATTCTATTCTTGCCGAAGCAAGGTTTCTTTAAGAGACAGGGGTTGGAAACAAAGAAGGGGGTGTGAATGAAGGAGGAGCTACCATAAGTGGACATGCCCCCTCTCCCTATTTAAACTCCACTAACCCGTGACTCTTTGCTCAGTTTATACTGTCCTCCTGTTGCGTTAAAATCTTCAGTGCCTGTCCTGTTTGATTCCCTGATATTTTATTCCTGCTTGACTCCTGACTACGATCCTGTGCCGCCTGCCCTGACCTTTGACTATCCTGACCATTCTTTGTTTTGAACCTTTTTGTACTGTGTTCCTGATTGAGATGGAGCCTTTTCAGCATCTTGGGCTTTGTCTCCTTAACAGTGCCCTGACAATAGCTGAGCAATTCCACGGAGCTCATAGAAGAAGCCGAGATGGTCAACTCCTAGATGAGACAAGTCACCAACCAATAGCCCGGATCTGAGCGCACAACACACCATTTGGGTAAAGTTCTGACCGGCCAGCCACGAGTCGATGGCCCAAAACAGTTCCAGATAATTGATGACAACGGCTGGTCACCTTTCGGGAGTTCCTGTGCGAACACTGAAGAACATTCCCCCTGGCTTTTAGGGAGCTTTGCTCCCCCAGTCGGTAGTTCCTATCTCCCGAACGTCGTTCGCCTAGTTGGTCTGGAAGATGAACAGGAAGCGGTACCATATTTGCCCAGGTTCGCGAAACCGCGTCACTGAAAAGAGTTCCAGGCGTTCAACGACCATGTACCGCTGCCTGTGCTCGGGAGACAAAATGGACTGGACCATGTGCATTCAGTTATATGAATGGAGGCTACCGAGGGAAAGCACTTGAGTTAATTACGTAATTTGTTGTTGGCCAGGGGAGGTCTGTGTTTGGGGAGATATAAAAGGAGGACCACACACCATCCATTCGGGAGATGAACAAGGGGGTACGGACAACCGAACACAAGGGGATGAAGTCTGCTACACCCGGATCCTCAATGTCTGACTATCTGGGTGCTGCAGCGGCGGTAGGACACAAAACCGCTTGATGGAAGTGTAGGCAGGCAGGAACAGTTCAGGAGTCTAGGAGTCAGTTTAAACTCCACTCCAGTCAGAAGCCACACCTGCACACACTGCATCTCCAGCATACAGACACACATTGCATCTCCAGCACACACACAGACACACACTGAACCCCCAGCACACACACACAGACACACACTGCATTCCCAGCACACACACTGTATCCCAACACAGACACACTGCATCCCCAGCACACACACACACTACATCTCCAGCAACCACACAGACACACAATGCACCTCCAGCATACACACAAACACACTGCACCCCCAGCACACAGACATAAACTGTATCCCAAGCACACAGAAACACTGCACCCCCAGCACACACAGAGACACTGCATCCCTAGCACACAAATACACTCACACTACATCCCCTGCACATTCATACACACACTTTATCCCCAGTGCACACACACACACTGCATCCCTAACACATACACACTGATAGACATTGCATCTCCAGCACACAGACACATATTACATCCCTAACACACACAAACATTACATCCCCATCACACAGACATACTGTGTCCTCCACACACACACACACACTGCATCCCCAGCACACGCATAGACACACACTACATCCCCAGCACATGCACAGACACACACTACATCCCCTACATAGACACTGTATTCACTACACATACTGCATAACTGTTGCGGCTCCCGATCCACCACATGGCGCAGCCGTGCCCGACCGGCACGACCTTGCCGACATTGCGAGCTTACCTGGGAGCCGGGAACTGCTCCTCCGCTTCTTCTGGGCGTTGCGCCCAAATCAAAGATGGCGCTTACCACGTGGTCGCGCACACCACAAGCTCCGCCCCTCAAATTTATACGGACGTGCGCGTGACGTCACGACGTCAACGCATACGCACGTTCTGGGGTCAGAGGTCACCCTCTGACCAATCAGAGCCCAGAGAGGGATATTTAAATCCCTAATTCACTCCAGTTCCTTGCCCTGTCGTGGTTTCCTGTTCCTGGTTCCCGAGAGTGCGTTTATCTTTGTGAATATTACTTCCTGGTATCCTGATCTTGGCTTTTCCCTGGTTATTCCGAATTCTGGTTCCCCTGACTTGGCTTGTTTCAACGGTATCTGAGTATTTCTGGCTTCCTTGACCTCGGCTTTCCCTTCGACCATTCTCTATCAATAGCATATTAGTCCGGCCATTCTAAGGTCCGGTTTACTCTCTGTCCTTTTATTTCCTTTCCTTTTTTATGTATATGTTTACATAGTTTCTGCGTGTTGGACCACACTAGCAGTCGTGACAATAACATAGTGAATGTGGGCGTGGTTTTCCTTCCTCTTTATCTCACTGTTCCTACACTCCTATAAAAAAAAAAGTTTGAGTACAATATGTTTTTAAATAAGCTAATGCTTTGTGTTAAATCCTGTTAAGTTGCTAATGTACAAACTGAGCGACCTTAGATATGTTTACATAACATCAAGCATATTGTAGTTATAATGGTAATTGTTTTTTGCTTTATTGCTCAAATGGTTTTTCACTTTCCCGTTTGTAAAACCTTAATAAATTTCATAAAGAGACATGTTTTCTTGGAGCTCCTGGAACAGTAAGCTTTAAACCAATTAAAACTGCAAATAAACTTCAGCAAACTGTTCAGTATCCAGTGCAGCAAGCATTCCCAACAAAGGGGACACTGAGGGTCACAAAATAATCATGTTTGCAACTCTTCCGGCCTACTGGGATTTCGAGCCCGCTAGCTGGGAGAGACGTTCAATCTCCCGCTGGGGACCACACATCCCGAAGTGAAGCCTCTGTTTCCCCTTTGGACTAGTGGGGGTTATGCTGGTCCCCACTGGTTACAATTCCTACAGTGAGGTAGCCTGACTCTGCTGCTCCTGAGATCGCATGGCGAATAAAAGATGGCCGCTGCATCAAGGCCTTCACTACAGCAAGCAGACCCAGAGAGCCAGGATTGGGTGCGGTGATTCAAGGCCAGATTCAGCAAGGTCTGTCAAGATTTCTGGACCAGTGTAGCCGGCAAGTCGTTAGTCATTGTTTTAAAACAGCGAGCAGTCACTGTAGAGATGCCCCTACTCCTAGTACGGCGGGTAGGGTCAGAAGGGACGATCTACCCTCTCTTTTACTAATATGGGGGACCACGGTAGGCCAAGTGTGAGTAGGCCATGGGGGAACTTAGGAAGTGGAGGGAGCACAGCTCCCTGATGCTTCTATTTTTAAATATTACAAGGAGTAAGCCATAAGCTGGTAGCTCCCTCCTTATAATAACTAAAATGAACTATAAATGAATAGCATGGACTTAATTTCGTCGAACAAGTAATTTATTTTTCGTTTTATTTGTTGTAATTTATATTTGTTGTTATTTTTGTTTTGGCAGTTTACCCACAAGTAACTTGATTGTCACCACCACCACTTTCTCCTGTTGTGATAGCAGCTAGAGTGATTATTGTTATAGCGCTTCTCGCTGTTCTATCCAAACACTAATTTAATTATCGTCCAGACACCTTGGCACCGGGTTAACAATACATACAAAAGAGTTAATGTGCCCACCTTTCCTGTAATAGTGCCATTCCAGAGAAGCCTCCTCCTCTGTCAACCAGTAAAAAAGCGCTCTGATTGGTGCCTCTGGGACTGAGGGCGCTCTGGACAGAGTATAACCGGATCGCGGCAACTTCACAATCCGATCAAGAGTTTGTGGGTTGCTCCAGGTGAGGCGGACAGTGCCTCTGTAGTCTTGTGACCAGTCTTTGGCTGCAAGAAAGGAACACTGAGCTGGGAGGCACAGGCTGGAGGGGTAATAGTGGTGATTATAGTTCTTTTGGGAGGGAGGTGGCAGGTGCGAGATATATACCTGTCCAAGGTGACCAGGTCATCTGTCACTCAGCTCCCTGCTTATACCTTTCTCAGGCATACACGGCTTGACCCTTTCGAGTGAGCATGGAGGTGTTTGGGTTTCACAGTCTCTAATAACAAGCTTGATCTGCCGGGTAGTGGATGGTGAAGTCGTACAGTTGCAGGTTTCAACCGCAGCAACTGCACATTGTCTCCTGCAACCTGGGTCAGCCAGACCAACAGATTGTGGTCGGTAATGATGGTGAATGAACTTCCATAGAGGCAGGGGTTGAGCTAGGCACTCTTCTTCTACTACAGCGTAACTTACTTCCCAGGGTAAGCATTTACAGCTGATGTAGGCAATGGGATTTTCTCCTCTGTCTTCCCCAAGCTTGTTTAGAGCGACCCCATTCCAAACATGGAGGCATCTGTGTGGACAATGAAACACTTGTTAGGATCTGGTGTAGCCAGGCCAGGGGCCATTGATTAACACATCCTGGAAGGCCAGGGCAAAACTTTGGAAGAACCAAAGAAAAAAAGTTACCTCTGCTCTCTCCTTAATCCCTATTTATTTTTAAACAAATTGAGGTCATTTAGTTACTCCAATGGCCACTGGAGGGAATGCCCGCCTGCCAACGTCAAGGCAGACCTCCCTACACGGATCCTACTCTGACCCTTCACCTTGCTTCCTTGAGCATCTGGCAAAAATATCTCTGAGACAGAAAGGGGTATTTTTTATACACATGGGAGTGAGTGCAGGGCTTTTCTCTTTGTATTTGTAAAAACTTTGAAAGAAGCCAGCTTTCCCCAAGAAAACCTGTGTCTTGGGGTTTGCCAATTAGCAATGGCCTCGATCATAGCTGGCTACGGGTGCTGCTTCCCACACCCGACCCGGTATTCCAAATATCGTACCTTGGCCGTACCAATGTGATACTTGTCTGGCTTCCAGGATAAGCCGGCAGCCGTGATCTTGTTTAAGACCATCCCTACATGTCCTCCAAGGTGTCACTTAAACCCGCTAAGTTGACCAGGTATGTATAATCATATTCCTGGAGGCCATCAAGGAGTCTTTCCACCATACGCTGGAAAGTAGCCGGGGCGTTCTTCATCCTGAACGGTATAACCGAAATTGGTAAAGGTCAAAAAAAGGTGACAAAGGCCGATTTGGGGACAGCTTCCTCAGTCAGATGAATCTGCCAATATCCCTTGCATAGGATAGGTCCATAGTGGTCAGATATTGTCCCCTGGCAATGCGGTCTAGTAGCTCAACCACCCGGGGCATTGGGTAGGCATCAGTCACAGTCATACTATTCAGTCGCCTGTTCTCTACACAGAAGTGGGTCGTTCCATCTCCATACCACAATACAGGCAAGGCCCCACGGACTCTCAGAGGGTTCTATTATTCCCAAGTGGAGCATCGCCTGGATTTCTTTGCTCATACCTTCCCAGATTGCCTCAGGGATGCGGTATGGGGGCTGTCTCAACGGGCTAGGATGTACCCTGGTGCCTGGGAGAAGGTCTCTCGCTTGGCCGCTAGAAGTTGCTTCACCTGTTCCCTTTCCCTCTAGCTGTACCTGATCGAGTGACCCCTTCCTGTGCCTCTACCTCCAGGAGTTCAGGTAAGTTTTCTAAGTCATCTGATGTGGGGGTGCATATGGTGGCCACCTCTTCCTCTCTTTCCTAGTAGTCTCTTAGCAAATTGACGTGAAAGGTGCGCCTGATTCTTTCATCGGCACAGCTAGCCACCACATAGGTGGTGTCGCTCAGCTGATTCACCATTATTGTATGGTTCTCAGGGCCAGCGCCACCTGTAAGGCGACCTAGGCAGCCGCCTAGGGCGCAACTTAGCAGGGGGCGCCGTATCCCTGCGCCCGGCGGCTCCTCATGCTGCACCGCCTGAGCGCTTTAGCAAGCCCCAGGCGGCGCGGCATTGCTGTGTGGAGGGCGGCCAGGTTTGTGACCGGCAGGAGGGAGGCGCAGAGCGCTCCCTCCTGCCGGTCTCTCAATGTAGCGTAATGAGTGAGCACTTCCCTTCAGTCCGCCGGCGGCCGGGAACAGGAAACAGAGGTTCCTGTCCCGCGTTCCGCGCCGCCCGGCCACCGTCACGCTACATAGGCAGGAG